GGCGGACACAACATCTTTGTTTGTATGTAGTACTGAGGATCGAACCCGGGCCGCACCCATGCCAGGCGAGCGTGCTACCGCTTGAGCCACATCCCCAGCCCCTAAACTGATATTTTTAATAAATGATTGATAATAATTACCTAACAATGTGAAAAATAAAGAATTCATATAGCAGCCCACAAAAAGAAAACCTGGTTACTATACACACAAAACTCCAATAAGCTTGTGGTGGGGGATGAGTGAGAGGAGGACACATTCAGCACTAAAACTTAAATGCCAAAGGGGCAGTTTACAGTGATCATTTCCATACTCATTTACCCATATAAATGAATAAATAAATAAAACATTGTTTCTGCTTTCCAGAAACTTATACTCCAATCACAACTGCTAGTATACTCAAAAACAAATTAAGAGTAGAAAGTATCAAAGATTAAAGGGCTACAAGAACAAAGACAGACTTTACTAATACACAAACAGGAAAGGCAGGAGTGGGGAATAACCATGTATGAGCTAACCTTTTACACTGAGGAGATAAGAAAAAATTCCAAGAAATAAAAATGCATAAATAACCAAAAAAGTTAAGTAAAACTTACATTCTTCAGAGAACATACGTTAAAAAATAAGTTTGATCACAAGAAGAACTAAGTTTCAAAATGGACTGTGGCCAATTAATGCAGAAAAACAATGCTGAGTAACTGGAACTTTATTACAGCGTTAATGAAAATAGCCTTTTGGGCAGAGGCACAGTGGTCAAGAACACAAACCTTTCAAGAAAAGGCATGCTTAAAATTAAAATCTGAGCTCTTCTACCCATTAGCAATTCCTTTGAGCTGGTGAAGTCTCCACCTCTTCACCTGTGAAGTGGGGATCATAAAAACTACCAACATAAATTAGTAAATTAGACCAAAAGAGAACAAAGCACCCAGATGACGACTGACATAAGACACAGCCAATAACTGTTTCAGGATTTTTGTTTTGTCATCAAGCAGAGACTATAATGTTCAAGGATGCAGGTAGGACAGTTTAATAGCAATATGCATGAGAATGGTATGGCAAAACCCCCTAGAGATTAGGAATGTCTCATTTGCACATGATTGCTCGAAAAATGGGAGGGAGGCAGAAGAATCAGGAAGCACAATAAAATGACAAAAAAACAACATCCAAGGAGAGTGAAAAATCAAAGATGACCTTCTGAGTAGCAATAAATCCCACCATCATATACAACAATAATGTACCAATAAAAAATGTGGAATAAAAAAATGGTCTTTTGGGCTGGGGATGTGGCTCAAGCGGTAGCGCGCTCGTCTGGCATGGGTGCGGCCCGGGTTCGATCCTCAGCACCACATACCAACAAAGATGTTGTGTCCGCCGAGAACTAAAAAATAAATATTAAAAATTCTCTCTCTCTCTCTCTCTCTCCTCTCTCACTCTCTTTAAAAAAAAATGGTCTTTTGATTTTAAGCCTGGATGACTAAGAAAATGTTAAGTTCATTAATATAATTGAGGAAATTAGAGGAAAAGATGATTCAAAAAAATAAAATGACAGCCAGCAAGAGTTTATCAAGGAGAAGGGCTGGGGATGTGGCTCATGTGGTAGCGTGCTCGCCTGGCATGTGTGCAGCCATCACATATAAACAAAGATGTTGTGTCCGCCGAAAACTAAAAAATAAATATTAAAATATTCTCTCTCTCTCTCTCTCTCTCTCTCTCTTTAAAAAAAAAAAAGTTTATCAAGGAGAATAATAAAAAAGAAGAATCTGAAGATTAGGCAAGAAAATGAGACTGGTGGTGCAGAACAAGGAGCCTGGGCAAATGGAAAGAGGAGGGCTGTTGAAACCATAGGGTTATGGAACCACCAGAAAAGAAACTCAACTCTAAAAAGAAAGATGAGAACCAAACTTAAGGTAATAGCTAAAATCATGGAAGAGAGAGAGAATATGAACACAGGCCCCAGAGGGATGACTTGGAGGTGCTGGCTTGAAGAAGGCATGGAGATAGGACTCTATAGACTTGACTTTACAATCTATAGCTTTGCAAATGCTCACTAGAACTCCAGATTACAAGAACTGACTTATAATAATATGATTATTAATAGGGGCTTACAAGAGCCTACAGATTACGGAAGTGTTACCTATTCCAACTCAATCCCTAACAGGACACAGAATGATTATAATTAGATATTTTTTCAGCATATGGAAGCTCACAGAACTGTAACTCAAGCAAGCTTTCATCTTCCCTGACATCCATCCACACATCTGACTCCACTGATTACTCCTCTTTGTAGAAATTCCTCTCCATTATCTACTCTGACAGCCAATTCTCAGATCCTCCCCCTTCCACCACCATTTTGGTGTCTCTTTTTATGTTCACTAGTTTCTCACCAAAAAAAAAACAGAACTACCTTGGAGCAGAGTCTGTATGCAATTACACAATAGCTATTTTATACAAATTAGTTTTTAAATAGGAGTCTAGTACTGCAGTGCCCTAGGCACTTAATAAATTTTGTGTTCATTTCCCTAACAAAGAAAAAAGCCCAGTGGGTTTTAAACTCTAGAGATCAACACTGATGCTTTTTTGGTATTATTCATAGGACCAAAAATAGTTGATTTATTTCTGACTACTCATGAGTATATGTCCCCAAAATGACTTTGAGGTTAAACTGAAAAATAAACTTTCAATTTCTTTCCACCAGCAATAAGATAGCTCTTAATTTTTTAAAATACACACAAAGAGCAAGAGTTCCACAGTATAAAGAGACTTTGCTGTGGCTGAATGAAACATTTTGGTATCACACAACTATAAAACCTAGTAACAAACCAACATCAGCTGTCTAAGAGATATCAGTAGCAGATATGCCACTTAAATATGACTGTTTATCATCCTGAATATCTATGGGTTTCTTCTCAAATACTTATTACAATATATATTACATACTTAATTATCTTCAGTATTTTCCCTACTTCTTTACACGATTGTCACATCTGCTAAAAAACTAAAATAAGTTGAAATACCATGACACATATCTTATTGATGTATTTAACAGATTAAAACACCAAAAATTAAAAAAGCAATTTCAATCTTTCTAGACTTTTTAGGGAGCTCTGTGTGTCCTTTTGAGCATATTAGCATATTACATGTTCAACAAAATCCATAAAAATAATGCTTACTGAAATGGGATTATCAAACTTTGTAAAAAATAAACAGTTGTGAAAGCTACAATTTATGATATACAAATTTACCATGGCATAGAACAGTGACTAACACAACACAATCCCTTACCTTCTTGGTTAACAACATAAAAACAAGTTTAATATTTTAATAATACATCACCAGAAACCTCATATAAAAAAAATACTGTTTTAGGGCTGGGGTTGTGGCACCAAGATGAATACAACAGTGCATCTTTAAAAAATACAAGTTAGTAATTAAATCAACAATGCCTCCAGCTCTTCTGCACACAAAAATACAAAATGCACCAGGGATTTGCTTTCTGTCTTAATAATAAGCAGGTAGTACCATACTTCCACTTCCAGCTTAACTCCCTAAGGCTTACTTTTCGAAATATTTAAACCCTGGTGTTTCTCCCCAGTCACCCCCCAATACAAAGCTCTGGGCCACTGGTTTTCCACTTTACCTTTTTTTTCCACAAATCGGCTACTTTATGTTCAAGGAATTAAATGTTTTCATCTGACCATATGGTATCTAAATTTATTTGGGAAAATGTACTCGAAAAAACAAAATGTAAACTCTTCTAATAACCTGCTTTATGAAGTCATCCAGCCCCATGTAAACTTACCATTAAGCTTTCTGTAAACATATTACTCAACCGATTTCATATGAAAGTATCACATCTGGCCTTGTACATTCTGAAAGTTTCACCACGTTACTGTTTCAAAGCATTGGCCTTTTAAAAGTAACTGATAATTGAAAATTTGTAAACCAAGTTCAACAATAAAGAAATAACTACAGAGTTATGCAGTTTTTTAAAAGAATGAAGCATGTTAATAAAACGGAGAGATATTCGTGATGTTTTGTTGGTCAATAAAACAATATACTACAGATGATTCAAATTTTGTTTCTAAAGCATAACCCTCAGATGCGCGCGCGGGTACACATATACACACACACACACACACACACACACACGCACGCAAGCACGCACACGCACACACAAATCCTGAAGGGCTACACACAGTGGAAGTCTGGTTACCCAGTAATAAAGGAAATATTAGGGATTGGGGGTCAGAGGAGAAGGTATGGGGTCTTCATTGTTGGGCAGCTTATTTTTTTTCAATAGTACTTTGTAATTTAAAAAAAAAAACTATTCTTAAAAACCTACTCCGCCCTACCTAAATTCTTCTGATTTCTTCAAAACATTGCTATGATTGCTCGAATTTAAAAAGACAGCATACGAAAACAAAATAATAACTGAAAGGAAAATCGTGGATCTGCAAAATTACTCCTGAGTCTTCCCTACGCCGGTGCTTAAAAAGGTCCCAAGGAACACGACAGGCACGGCACTCACCACGAGCAGGAGTACGCTCAAACAACAACAACAAAGTCAGGAGGAAAACGCCAGCGCCTGCTCTAATCCCGCGAGTCTCTCCCCAGCCCCCAGGCATCCCCAGCCCGACGTAGGCTGGACTCTTTGGCTTCCAAACCAAAACAACCGAAAGTCACCGGGTCGGTCTGAAGAGGCCCTATAGGGCCGCAGGGGTCTGCCAACGCCGGCTTCGGGTCTCTGCGGTCCCCAAGCCCAGGCCAGAGCCGCAGGACCGGCTCGAGGACGCGGCACCCCGGCCTTGCCCAGGTCCCCGGCCTCCCGCCCCTCCATGTCCGGGACCCCGACGTCCAGGCCCCGTCCGGCACTCAAGCCCTCCCGGTGCTGGATCCCCGACCTTCCGGCCCAGACCCTAGGGGTCGGTCTCCCAACGCGCCCCCCGCCGACGACCCGGCACACGCCAAACCCTAAACCCCAAGCCCCCCGGCAGCGGCGTTACCTGTGGCGCGGCAGTCGGTCCGGCCGGCCACAGCGGCGCGGGAGCCAGGCACTAGGACTCTGCAAGCTCCGAGGCCGCCGGCCGCCGCCACCACCACCACAACAACACCGCCGCCACCGCCGCCGGGGGGAGGGGCGGGGCCGGACCTGCGCCGGGGGCAGCCGGACTGTCCCGGCCTCCAGTACCGCCAGAGAGTTGGGCATGCGCAGAAAGCTGTAGGAGAGACTGACGCTCCGTCAGGAGGCCCAAGTCAACAAGGACCGGGGACGCCCCCAGTTGGCTCCGCCCATTTGGGGATCGCCCCGCCCCAATCCCCAAACAACGCGAGGCCTGCTCTGGGGCCTGGAGACCACAGCGGTGGAAGGAGATCCCGCGAGAGCAAGGCCTCTGCCTCCCCGCCCTCTTTCCCACATTCGGGCGCTCCGGTCGCGGTGAGGTCGGTGTTCGGTGGCTGTGGAGGTCCTGAGGAAACAGGCACCTCGACGTCCCCGCCGCTCCCGGGGACAAGACCTCCTGGGTGTTGAAGCATTTTCAAAGGGCTTTCCTGGGTCGGGGGCGATACCCCACAGGGTAACTTTTGAGCGGCTCTTTTGGAGGGTGCACACTAATTGATCCTAAAGGCTCAGGGCTTTTCTCATGATTGGGCCACTTTAGAGTGTCCACTTAGCGTCCCTAAGTCCCGCCCCGCACGCCGTTCGTAAGCGCATCCAGAGCGTGCGCGCCCTCCCTGGTTCCTGCAGGTGGACCTGCAGATTCTTGAGACCTTGGCCTGACTCCGGAGGGAGCTATGGGCGTGGGCACTTGAACATCCCAAGTGTGCATAGCATTCAACACACTGAAGATACTGTGTCAAGCAAGTTTCTTTTAGTGTGCTTAACCACACGTTATCTAAAGGAAAGAGGAAGGAGAGAAAGTTGAGAAGGGGATAGAGTGGCATATTGATCAAGCAAGCTAGGAAAGCACTGCCACTATGGTCCTGAACAGTAAACATGTTATTCGTGCTTTTTAAGACTAACCCTAACCATAACTCCTGGAAAGCTACATACTACACATAATGTTTTTCAATGGATTATAATACACATAAAAGGTATCATTTCTCTGCTAAATATCCAGTGTCATATTGTTCTGCTTTTCTGTTCACTAGTCTTTCTGTGTATATTCCCCTCCAAACCACTAGTCTGTTAGAGCGCGCATTGCTTGAATTATATTGATTTTCATCTTTGTTACCAATGATTGAAGACTACCCTTATAGGGTTCTTAAGGTACATTAGAATTAGAACACCCTCAATGCCCAGGTTACTGCTTTCCATGGCAACTGATCATGTACAAAGTGTTTGAAAGAACACACTAGCAAGGTCAAAGCTTCAAATCATAAAATAACTTCAGAACAAATTGCTAGTAAGGTGACCTACCATTCAGCTCAACATCATTTTGAATTTAAGGTATGAGTGCATATCCAGTGCTCTGAACTGTGCAAAAATCTCTGCTCATATGTCTTCTGTAGTATAGCTATGGGTCACAGATTCATTTAGTCCCATCTTTGACTCTCTTGCCTGAGCCTAGAGCACTCCTATGGGATCGCATAACAAGTTTTACAGGATTAGTTTTCTGCTATTCCAAGCAGAAATTTTAGTACATGAAAATATCTTACCATAAACAAAATGAGTACAAATGGTAATCTAAATTAAGAAGAGGGCTAAAATCATTGAACATCTGTTTTGACTTGCCTTCATTTCTTCGTATATTTTCTTTCTCCCTTCTGCTATAGCAATTTTTCAAAACTAGATTTCTACTGAATTAAAGTTAGCTATAGTTCATTTTTCTCTTTTGCTTTTTTTGTTATTTTATTTTTAATCAGGCTAGTAATAAGTACTTTGTTAATAAAAAGAACCAAGTGTTACTCTTATGAGAATAGCTAAACTACAAATAATCAAGCTATCAACTCTACCTTCCTGTGGTACACATACCTCATGGTGCCACCCACCTCTACCTTCAGAGGATTTCTGATTGGGTCTCCATTTAACACTTTTTTCATATCATTAATTCTTGTGAATGTGTATTCCTACTTACCTGTAACCCATAAAGGGTGGGTGCATTCTTAATGTGTCCAATGTGTCCACTGTTTCTCTCCACAGCCTGGTTTGCTACAATATTAATACTTTGCACCCATTGTTTGCTACAAAATTGATACCCATTGTTGAATGGTAATTTAAATTTTAAATGTTCTTGATCCATTGTTACAGCAAATCTGGTCCTGGCTACAGAGGTAACATTTGATATAATAATTCTTCATACTGGGTCACTTCAATTTTATTATTAAGCAGAAAATACTTTGGCACTCTGTTCAGAGTACTGTGTAGGCAGAACTCTTGTTATATAAGAAAGACTCTTATTTAAATGCATAAAGCATTCAACAAATATTTATTAAACTGAACCATGTTCCATATTGCCAAGGCCAATGTCTCGGCTTGGCACCAGAATCACGAGGCACTCACAGCTTTGTAGGTTCAAACAGCAATTCTTTATTCCCGCTCTCACACCGCCTCCACACAGGTCCAGGGGCCAACACGTTCTGCCGTCTCCCGCACCAACCACCTACTCCACGAGGCTATCTCCAAATCCCATTTTAATCTCACGAGAACTCAACGGGAACAAGCAGCAGGAACACCCTAATCCCAGCAATAATCTTCAACTTCCAACTTCCCTAAAACCCATTATCTTAAACTGGCAACGCCTTAAACTCAAGGAGCCGGTTACTTCCTCAAACCTGATCAGCTCTAAACCCGGATCCGCCTTGGTCCTTGAGCAAGGTCACCTTATTAAAGCATGCATGCAATGTCCCATCGAATGTCCTCTAAGCAGCATGGGGTACGCTTGGCAAGGAAATTTCGATGCGTCATTCCTACTTGGTAATGGCCCTCAGCACCATATACAAACTACTCTCATCATCCTAGAAGTTCACATGTCGCATAGACATGACATTCACTCTGTTTTATCTGGCCTTGAGAATTGGAAGTCTCCATGTGTTGCCAATATTACCTTAAAACATCTAGTACCTTCCTAACACCTTTTTGTCTTTGTTATTTTCTTTTGTTGTTTTGTTGTTGTTTTGTTTTGTTTTGATTGTTTAGTAATTTCCTAACACCTGTGTCATGTAATAGGTTTTGACTATGGTTTTTAGAGCTAAGTCTAGTTTGTTACTCGTGTCTCTCATTTTATCCGCAATATTTGGAGAAAACCCAAAACTAATATCCTACTAAATGTTGAACTATTTTATTCTTCAATTTTATTTCCTTGTACTATTTTAGTTGGGTCCATGACCTCTACCCATTCCCCAGCAAAAAAAAAAAAAAAAAAAAAAAAAATGCCAGTGAAACAAATACTGCCTCTGAAATTATTTTCATTGTACTTAATTTTACTCTATTTGAAAAGCAAAAAAAAAAAAAAAACACATCAGCATTTCCTTATGAATTTAAAAAAAACTTATTTAGTTTGTTTAGAAGATGATAATTGTATTAGTCTGTTAAGGCTGCTACAACTGAAAAACTAGCCTCTACCTCAGATCTGCTGCTCTGGGTGTCCCTGACTCAGTCAGACTAGGTGGGGATTCTTAGCAACCCCCAGGGAAATACCTGGGATGTCAGATGACCCTCCCAGTAGTTTATGGTGGTTGATAAGGTGTTGGAAAACCATGTAGGTATCTGGTGAGGGCTCACTCTGGTTCATAGACAGCAGCTTCTTACTGTGTCTTCACATGGTGGAAAGGAGCAAGACAGTTCTCCCCTAATGACCCAGCAACATCAAATTTCAGAGGAACTAAGAAGTGCAAATTCTTAGGACCAGTCTGACAAATTTAATAAGCCTTCTGGATGATTCTGATACACGTTAAATATTGAGAACCATTGACTCAAACCACAAACTGTACTTGTCAGGTTTTGATTTTTATATAAAATACGTGATTCACACATATGAGAGTGGGTAGAAAATAGGCTTCCTTTTGCAAAAATGCTTCATTTTAAATATTGCCAATGTCTATAATAGCTGAGGAAAATGCACCCATTGTTCATGGACTTGCTCCAGTATTTCTTCCACTATGAACCTTTCTTAATCCTTTGGGCCACAGTATGTTTTTGTTGCATTGCTACCATCATGGTTCTCAGTAAAAATGCTGTGTGTGTTTGTGGATATGACTGAAAAGGCGGCACAAGCAGTCCTTTCCCCACTGGAAGATTGCCTAAATTGTGCACCACAGCTACTATACTGGGCCTTAACCTTTATTTTAGCTCTTTGTTTTTTTCCTTTCAAAACTGCTCAACCAAAATACTCAAGTTGATAGCAGACTCCTGTAGTTTCCAAGCATTTCATAACTATTCTCTATTTTCTGAAACTCCCTAATACTTTCAGAAACTGTGACAAAATTTTTATAAAGTTATTTTACAATAAGTCTTTAGAAAAAGCAACCTGGAATCTAAGAGAATGTTACTCTTATAAGACACATAACAAATGTAAATATACACAATTTGCTATCGTCTACCATTTCCCTCCACCAAAAAAAAAAAAAAATCACAGAAAAATACTGAAAGGCATAAAATTTTTAAGATTGTTTTTAATGGCTTAAAATCAGTAACTATTGAAATCTAAGGTATTGTATGTGCAACTAAAAATAAATTATGACAATATACTTTCCTAAAATAATTTAATCTTAAGTGAATACTTCAGAAATTCTGGCTTGTTTAATGATAAAAATAAAATGTGTTGGACCTGGGGATGTGGCTCAAGCGGTAGCACGCTCGCCTGGCATGCGTGCGGCCCGGGTTCGATCCTCAGTGCCACATACAAACAAAGATGTTATGTCCGCCGAGAACTAAAAAATAAATAAATAAATATTAAAAAAAATTCTCTCTCTCTCTCTCCCCCACTCTCTCTTTAAAAATAAATAAATAAATAAATAAATAAAATTTGTGTGTACAACCAGAGATATAAAAAAATGTGCTCTGTATGTGTAATATGAATTATAATGCATTCATTCTGCTGTCATAGATAACAAATTAAAATTTTTAAAATCAGATAAAAAATGAATAA